GTAAAAAGAGATGAGATAAAATGAGATAAGATGAGAAAAAGCAAGATAAGCATTGCGTTCTGTTTTTAATTTATTTTACAAATATTTATTTTATATTTATTTATTTTACAAAATACATAGAGACAGCATGAATATAGCAGTAGAACCTTTATACGGCCCACATATTTATATATTTATTTCTTTTTTTTATTATTATTCCAATATTTTATAAGTAAACAGAAACATCAAAAGTAAATAATAACAGGTCATACTGATCAGTCAATCAAGAAAATAAAGCAGTGGCTTTTAAAACGTATATAAGTTCAGCCTACTACACAAAAAACTGTATCAAAAGCACAAATACAATTAACCAAAAATTATCATTATTTTTAAATGTTATCATGAGAAAATGAGCTTTGCTATTTTGAGATAAAGAAATAATTAATTTGTGATCTCAAGACATTACACAAATAATTGCAAGCAAGGCTGTTCTCAGAGATACTACTCTGTCCTCTTATAATAATAATAATAATAATAATAATAATAATAAGATAACAGAGAAATAAAAAAAAAATACATACAACCCCAGTTACCAAAAAGATTACTATGTACAGAGGGGGGAAATTATTCAACGTGTCAAAATTTTTGTCAATTACACCCTTTTTCAGTGAATACATACGCAAGTAAGTTTAATGACTAAGGAAAGAAGTAAAAAGAGATGAGATAAAATGAGATAAGATGAGAAAAGGCAAGATAAGCATTGCGTTCTGTTTTTAATTTATTTTACAAATATTCAAAATACATACAGCATGAATATAGCAGTAGAACCTTTATACGGCCCACATATTTATATATTTATTTATTATTTTTATTATTATTCCATTATTTTATAAGTAAACGGAAACATCAAAAGTAAATAGAATCAGAATAAGAATGCCTTTATTGTCATTGCAAAAAGAATTTGCAACGAAATTCAAAGTGCTACACCTATTTCAGTGCTTAGGTTAAAAAAAAAAAAAAAAAAAAAAAGACAAAAAGAAACAACAACAGGAACATCCACACAGACATTCAATTTAGAATAACATAGTAACAGGTCATACTGATCAGTCAATCAAGAAAATAGCAGTGACTTTTAAAACGTCTATAAATTCAGCTTACTACACAAAAAACTGTATCAAAAGCAAAAATACAATCAACCAAAAACTATCGTTATTTTTAAAAGTTATCATGAAAAAATGAGCGTTGCTATTTCGAGATAAAGAAATAATTAATTTGTGATCCTAAGACATTACACGAATAATTGCAAGCAAGGCTGTTCTCAGAGATACTACTCTGTCCTTGGAGTCACGTCCTCTGTGTCACGTCTGACCCTTAGAACTGGAACCACCGAGAATATAATCCTTAATCTCAGTCTCTTGTTACAACTTCTGGCTGGCCTGGAAAGACAAACAAGCAAACATTGGCTGTTACTGCTAAAATATCTGGTCTCCTCTAACTAATCACATCACGCTAAATACTTCACTTAAATGAATAAAGATGATGTACCTTAGAGGTGAAGATGAAGGCAGTGATGAGTAGCATCATACCCAGCAGGATGACAACAAGTCTGACGATCAACGCAGTCAGAGAAACTGAAACAGATTTAAAATCACATAATTTTTATTAAAGTTAAAGCTAAACAATCCATATTTATCAAGCTTATATCAAAATTGTAAAACTGATGGACAACACTAAAATAACTGTCAGGAGCTGAATGGAAATTTTAGTTGAATAAGGGATTGTTCTTTACTTGTCAGAGGAGGTGGAGGGATGGGGCATGACCCTACTCGAAGCTGCAAATATATTTCCTTGAGCCTCCCTGAGTGGCTGGTGGAAAAATGCATGACCCTCCCTCCACCATAAAGGGACTAAATAAAGCATTGTAAACTATAGAGCCTTTTACTGTTAGGAAACAGTATGACGTTTTTTGGTGGGCGGGGCTTGGCTGGAGGCAAAACAATTCTCCATGGACATTAGCTAGCTCTAGCTAGCAAGTTTTGTTGTCTTGTTTTAGACAATGGAGGAAGATGATGTGAGTGGTGCATTCGGAAATATCCATTCCGAGTGCCGGAGCGCACTCTGGCACAAACTGGATCATTTGTAAATTGAATGACCTGTTCGGTTATCCAGAGCACCGCACTGTCGCAATGGCAGAGCACACTCTAGGCATTCTGTCTGGGGTGATGGAGCAGCAGAGTGTTGAGCGGAGTGAATGTGTGATTAATTTAACCCTTAATTAACTAATGTAGAAATAGAACGCTCCATTTCTTCGACCAACAGGGATCTCGTTTTAGTGTAGTGTCACACTGAATTTACAAATGCACCATGTCAGGTCACTCACTCTCTTAATACCTCCCCAGTTTCTGATGAGGTGGACATGATAACCCACACCACACATAACGTTATTCATCCCTACAACAGGAAATACTTTTCCCTAACCTGATATGAAGTGTGCTACACATGCGACCATTTTTGATGATGGCCTCCGCCCAGTCCTTTCATCTTGACCCGTTTAACCATAGTTGTCTCAGTCTTGTTGATAAAATTTAAGTTTGGAGCCATGACTCCTTCTATTCTGGCTCCCAATAACACAACAAGACGACACTTTAAGACTCCTATGTAGCCTACAGCCCTGTGGGGGCCAGTTGTGTTTTGCCTCCAGTGAATAAAATGACATCATAGTGTTGTTGGCCCTTAAAAGGTCTATTACTGGTACATGTAGAAGAATACATATACAGTATAGGCACACAATCAGGTGCACAAGTCTTTAAGTCTACAGGAATGTAGGTCCAACAAACCCTGGACTTTCATCCAGGAGCCCGGTGTTCGCTTTCCATATGAATGTAGAGCCAAACAACCTCCTAACCTAATCTCGTGTTTTTGTTGCACTGCGTTAATTGACACACTGTCCCAGGACGTCAACAGCAGGAGGAGCTGGAGGATGATCAACATCAACATGTTGACACTGATGGCACTGAACAAACGGCAATATGGAGAACGGCAGTAGCTCAGTCCATTGGGACTTGGCTTGGGAACCGGAAGGTCGCCAATTCAAGTCCCCATATAGACCAAGTATGGAGCTGGAGAGGTGCCAGTTTGCCTCCTGGGCACTGTTGAGGTGCCCTTGAGCAAGGCAATGAACCCCCAACTGCTCGAGGTGCCTATCCAAAGCAGCCTCCTCACTCTGACATCTCTCCATTTAATGCATGTATAGGTCCTGTTTGTGCCTGTGTGTGTAATTCCAGTCTGTGTGTGTATGACAACAGAGTGAAAAATGATAAATAATAAAAATGCATTTCCCCTCTGGATTAATAACGTATATCTCCTTCTTTGATATGTGATGAGTTGGGATGAGAACAGGTTGGTACCAATTATGCTGATAGCTATTTTATCTATCTTATTTAAAAAAAAAAAAAGGTAAGTTAGTGGACTTTAGATTTGAGATGACTTTGTCATACATATCTGCTTGCATGTTAAAACAGTCAGTGTCACATTTCTGTGTTAGATTCTCTGTGAGGTTACCTGCCAGAGTGACATGGAGTGGCTGGCTCTCAGAGGAGAAGTTATGGTAGAAAACATAATTGTGATAAACACAGCGATACTCCCCTCGGTGGGTGTGGTCTGCAGCAGAGAACAGGAAATGGGCAGAGTGATTGACAGCTGGCAAGGTGTAGTTCTGAGCTCTGTTGGAGGAGGTGGAGATAAGCTGGAAGTAGCCTCCTGGGAACTGTGGTTCAACAGAGCACCTGAGGGTGAAGTTGGAGCCCATGAGCACCTGGACCCCCTGCTGCTTGGCATCAGAGACCCTGTCAGGGGAGGGACAGGAGGAGATGTTTGGTTCCGCCAGCACATCTGTAAACAAAAAGTGATTAGCTAAACTCAACCAAATCATGAAAACAGAGCCCAAGGAAGTAAAATCCCAGTGATTGGTTGCATTAAAAGCCTGTGGATAAACAACAGGTTGCTAGAAAACATCCACACTCACACTGTGTCTAAAAAGCTGCTGGAAACACAGCGATGGGTCAGTATAAATCCCTAACGTTTGGTACATAAGAAATTGCTGGAAACACAGCAATGACTGTTTTGTGGTCTTGAACAGTGGTCCACAGTCTATCCTTGGTGTCCCACCATCCACCATCCCCTCCACCTCCCAGTGGCAAAGTGACCTCATATACTATGTCACTTTAGAAACACTGATATGATTCATATGAAAAAAGCAAATGTAATGTATTCACGGTCTGTTTGGCTACAGGATAAGCAAAGGAATGTAATGTAACATCGTCTTTACCATACAGTAGGTGTCATTAATGGTGTTACCTGTGCAGATGATCTTCAGGCTGGCAGAACTGTATGAATTCCCTGTAGCTGTCGTACATTCCTTCAGTGTCGATCTCAACTCAACACAGGAGGAGTTGATCCACCACACAGATCTGACTAAATTTTCATTATACAACTCAAACGTTGAAAGATCAGAACCACAATCGAGCTGTCTACACACTGCAGCTCCAGCTGCAGACATAAGATCCCATCCATGATCAATTTTAGCCACAGATCTCCACTCTCTCTGGTTTTTCATCTCCAGTATTCCAGCACAGCGGCTGGCCTCTCCCACCAACCTGATATCACCTGGAGGATCTGAGCAAAGACATGAGAATAATTAGCAGAGGAAGTACGGCGGTATGGCGCATCACAGCTGCAGCTCCTCTTCTACCTGAGCAGGTGAGTCCAACAGCTTTGCCAGGTGAGCAGCTGTTCCTCTCTGAGCCTGAGCTTCTACAGTCCAGGAGAGCAGACTCATGGCCTCCACACTGGAACTCTTTGGTCCACATTGGAGCCTCCACCTCTCCATAGAGCGCCCCCTGGAGGAATGAAGGAGGCCCACAGCCAAGCTCCCTGCAGACCACCTCTGCATCCTGCTGGTCAAAGTCTGCTTCACACACTGGGGACCATGACTGGTTAGACTGGTCTGACTTCACCTCCAGTCTGCCTGAGCACAGACTGGTCCCATTCACCAGCCTGACAGAGTCTGGAGAGACAGAAACAGAGCAACTTTATTGATGCTGCACTACAAAAATGGGGGCTTTTTGTTGCTTTGGGGACATCACTCTGAAGGATTTGTGCCAATATAAAACACTTTGATACCTTGAGTTGAAATGGAGAGAGAGGCAGCACCCAGTTCAGTAGTTTGTCTTATTTTATTTAGCTTATTTTATCTTCTGTTTTATTTAGTTTTACTCTTTTTAAAATCTTTTTTTGTGTGACTTTTTCTAAGACCAAAACATTTATCTGGAAGACACTAATTGCTCAGTGGAGCTCAGGGGAACTCCAGAGTAGCTGATTGGTTCATCACCACCAACAGTACTTGCCATCTTTTGACAGGTTTAAGCATCACAGACTGGTAATGATCACCAGAAATCGAGCATAATCTCTATTTCGATTTATATGATTATCAACGAAAAACAAGGTACACACCATTCCAGTAGATTAGTTAGTGTTGCAAGGGTCCCTGCTGGCCCTAGATGTCAAAATGACATCAGAAAGATGTTGAACTCTCATGTTGCACAAACATTAAATTTTCGTTGCAATGACAATCGGATTGACAATATTATATTGTGTGGACAATAACATTATGGTGATTCGCAGATGTTGGGTTTTGTTCTTCACACCTTACGACTAAAAGTCATTAGTATTCTACATCAATTAATGTTACCATGAGATGTTGCCCAGACATTCAGTTTTGGTCCCCCAACATTGCAACCTAAATTCAACCAAATTTCATCATCAAAAGACGTTGATGTCAGCTGGGCTAAGGTGATTATTGAAACAGCAGTAGCAATAAACTGTATATTTCTCACTGTCAGGTGAAAGTCCTTTACAGTATTTTGAAGTAGTCATCTTCCAGTAACAGATCTAATTCTCTATCCTTTTACCAGTTTAAACTGGCAGATGTGTGACAGGCTGAGAAACTGTAAAGATTACGAGTAAATATTATTTATGGTGTTACCTGAGCAGGTTATCTCTTGGACGGTAAAAGAATATGAAAATTCTTTAAAACAATTCATCAGTGAAGATGCATCACAGTCAGATTTGATTGCCCAATTTTCACTGGCGGACTCCCGTCTTTCTCTAAATGAAACAACAGAGCCACAGTCCAGCTCTCTGCAAACTACGCCTGCTAATTTTAGCAGGTTCCAGTTGTTCGCAGCCACTGGTTTCCATTCGTCGAGCCGTTTCATCTCCAGCACGCCAGCACACCGGTTGGCCCCTCCATTCAGCCTGACACCACTAGGTTCTGGGTAGAAACAAGACAGAAGCTTTGAACAGAAAGCCAATTACAGGGCTGACACATAGAGACAGAAAACCGTTCACATTCACATTCACACTCCAACGTCACTGTAAACTGACAGAGATGCACTGTCACTCAGAGCAGGCTGCCCTTAATTATGCCTTATTTTCAGCCCTAGTAAAATAGAAATGGGTGAGTTATAAAAAATTTTTTTAGCCCTCATACAGTTGTCATGAATGTTGAAATTAGCTATAGAGACCAAATTTTTTTTGTACCAGGCTGTAAATATGTTTAGTTCTGCTGTAAAGTTGGACATTTTAACATGGGGGTCTATGGGGATTGACTCGCTCTTGGAGCCAGCCTCAAGTGGACATTTGAGGAACTACAGTTTTTGGCGCTATCACATTCTCTTCATTCGTCAACACACTTGCGGCTTGGACCCAGGCCCAAAGGAAGTGCACCTGGCTTTGAATCCAATTTTTGTAGTGGCCGAACAGTGTAATTATACCTTCATGTGATGCCCTGTGCCCCAAAAAGACTCATAGACTTATATAGTGAAAGAAATGTCTGTAAATCTGTGGACACATTTCTTTGAGCATCACAACCCCTCCGAAATGATTTGTTTCACTATCAGGATTTGATCCATTCAGTCCAACAACATCTGGAAAGTCTAGAAAAGCTGCAACATTAAATCATGTGTTCCCCATTCAAGTTAATGGAGTGTGCCTGCTTTATGGTGCTTTGTAAGTGCTTTATAAGTATTCCTTTAAAGTCCACTGGTGATGATGTTTACTTCTACCTGAGCAGGTGAGTCCAACAGCTTTGCCAGGTGAGCAGCTGTTCCTCTCTGAGCCTGAGCTTCTACAGTCCAGGAGAGCAGACTCATGGCCTCCACACTGGAACTCTTTGGTCCACATTGGAGCCTCCACCTCTCCATAGAGCGCCCCCTGGAGGAATGAAGGAGGCCCACAGCCAAGCTCCCTGCAGACCACCTCTGCATCCTGCTGGTCAAAGTCTGCTTCACACACTGGGGACCATGACTGGTTAGACTGGTCTGACTTCACCTCCAGTCTGCCTGAGCACAGACTGGTCCCATTCACCAGCCTGACAGAGTCTGGA